ATTAAAAAAACCCCAAAGCTGTTGAGGAAGCCTGAACAGTACAGCTCTGATTCTGCTTTTATTTGTGGCATTACACATCTGGAGTTATATTGTGGAATTCAATGACTGTAGCACTCATGTAAGAACAAATCATGTCTTTGAAGTCAGGAACTGATATGCAGAGAAGTAAATGGGGATGCTGTTGGATTAAATAGTTGTCCACTGAAATCCTCATAAGAGAAACTCGTAAGAGAAAACTCATTAAAAAATGCTACCAGCATGAGCACAATTGAGAAGTGAAATTATATCCTATAAAAGGCACAGCAGTAATGCAGAGAAAGTGACCTTTTCTTTAATTCTCTCTTTTTGCTCCTAAGCTAGAGTAATTCTTGCTGAGTTCAGCCAGATTTGAATGGGTGTAAAATTAGATCAAAATTAGGCCCAGGTTGTTTGTTTTACCCAGAGTGCAAGTCTCAGGAGATTGCTTTCATGTTTCCCCATAGAAACAGCCCGAGGTACCTCCAAGGCGGGGCACTGCCACGACCTGGTCATTGGAATTCAAACAAGAATGTCTGGCAGACTGAGCGGTCCCGTTAATCGCAAGTGGTATCTCTGAGACGCTTCAATTACAAGAGATTAGTGGAMAACTATAGCAGTGGACTAAAGGAGTAATGACACGTAGGAAGTGAAGCGGAAAACCTGCTTTCTTCTGTTTAAGGAGAAGTTCAATTTATACTTTATTTAAATATAAATTGCAAGCATAAAGTATTACAGTTCCTAAACTTCACTCTTCAGTTAGTTTCAAATTAACCATACTGTATTTCTGAGTTCCCCAGAGCAGCACAGTGATCTTCAGCCTGTCTGTTCCTTAAATTGAGCTGAAGTCTTTTAAGTCCAGTAAATTCCTGTGATATCCCCATAGCTAGCTGAGTTACATTTGCTCATCCCTGTGGTGCCTCCACTGTGGTGTGGATTTTCAGGGGCCAGCACAGACTCTGAGCCTCCCCTGCTACCCCCCCTGCTATAAATTGCATGAAGGACTGTGAAACAGTAGAGCAGGAGGCTATGGTCTCCCATCATTTCCACTGCTGTAGCTCAGTTGATTTACTCTTGTCATAACCACTGTTGGGAAATGCTTTGCCTGAATCCCTGGGTTTAGGTTACAAGCATAATAATGTTTTATAATGGAGAGTGGGTCTAGTGGCTGCTGCCAGTCCTTTGAGGCCAAGCAGTGGCTGAATGTCTCAGWGTGCCTTGCAGTGAAGTAAGCTGTGACTCCTGTACAGGTGTGTGGTGTGAAACAGACTGCCCCGAGAGCTCAGCAGTCATTCTGCATCTGGACACAGCCATCAGGAGGGGTCCAAGATCCCCAATCTCAACTTGATTCCCAGGCCACAACGTTGCCTGTCTTCTCAGAAGATGTATCTGGCTCAGATGTTTTAAAATCTGCTTTAGCCTGCCTAGTTTCTTGCGCCACTGTTACACATGTAGTTCTGAATGCCAATGGGAGTTTCTCAGRAYTGAAGTTTRCCTGTATTTTGCCTGCCCATTGAGTTTTTGTCATAGAAACAGCTCCCATGGCATGTAAGTGACATACATTCTGCACAGATGGGATCGAATTGTTTTCTCAATTAACATAATGTAAATCAGGAGTAATTTGAAAGGGTTGCACTGGTGTGAAATTGGCCTGGAAGAATATTTAAGAGCCTACAAATCACCAGATGAGTTCCAATAAACCATGGTCACTACTTGTATTCTGTGTCCATCGCACTCATGCTTCTGGCTTTGTTTTTGCTGGCATGTAGTTTTTGCTGGAGACTGTCACACAGATTTGTGTGTGTGTGTGTATGTACAGACTATGGGGCACTGTACTACCCAGAAAGAACATTTTTATTATGCTAAGAGCAAAAAGAATCACTTTAGGCAGCCTGCAGTGTAGGCACCTACATCTCAGGTAAATTAAAGATGCCTGTAGAGGCATCTTGCCTTCCATCGAGAAAGCCAGAGGTATTTGTGGAATTCGTCTGTTATGAAACAGAACGTGCAAATTAAGTGCTAGAAATGCCTGCTACTCTCTATTGCCTGCAAAGGGCTCAGACAACTGGCTTAGATGGAGACAGCTCCTGGAGGCTGATSTAWATGRGGGTGAGCAGAATTACCCATGACAYGGTGTCCCGAGGCACAGGGGTTACTTCATGATGAGTAAGAAATGGTTCAACTATGAGGATACCCACATGTTATCAATATGGTATTCCCCTGCCCTAACACATAGGAATGTGGTCTTTTCCAGCCTGGATTAATCTAGGGTTCTGTGTAGTGCTTATTCAAGGCACTTAGGGACATGGCCGAGTGCTGAACTTGGCAGTTATAGGTTAACAGTTGAACTCAAGAGCTTATAGGTTTTTTCCAACCCATGTGATTCAGAGATTCTATGAACCATTAGGTCTCAAAACAAAAATCCCCAATGCACAGGAAATACAAAGGTTCACAGCAACAGCAGTATTTTTCTTGTGAATTGCCTATATTCAGCAGAGTTGAGGAGCCAAATGATCAGAAAATACATGTTGTTAGACAGTTCCTGGGACTTCTGGGTTGAGCTCTTTGTTTTCTTTTTAATAGAGTTTCATTCAGTTTATCTGATGCTAGTAAATTTTTAGGATTTCAGTTAAATTGGTATTTTACTCTGGGGAATGAGGAACCTGATTCCTTAGCTTCAATCACTGTTGGAAGCTATTCCTTCAATAGCTGTTGGAAGTTAGCAGGATTTGTGGTATTGCCTCAGTAAGAAGTGGCAGGTATTAATCTGATTTTGTGTGAACGGGTTTAAATTCAAACCCATGCCAGTGATATTGTACCATAACAAATAAGGTGTAGCTGAAGTTAAAACTGAATGCCCRTACAGTTTGAGTGCAGAAAGAATTCTTAGACTGACGGTATATGAAAGATTGTTAAATTTCACGCGCTGTCCATTCTCCAAAACCCCAAAAAACATAGCCCAGGGTATTCAGTCAACTCTCCTTTGTACACAAAGATCAAGGATCTGAAGTTCATGGTTTTATAGCAGCCAAAAATACACATAAACTTATATGGAAAGAGTTTTCTAAAGCAGAGCAAGTATTTTATTTAAAGTAGTTGAAGAATAACATTTTTTTTTTCAACAGATCAGTCTAATGCTCTTGATATTTGTATCTATTTAAAAATATGGGACCCAGCAAGTATGCCAAAATGTTGCCAAAATATGCCAAAATCATGTGAAGCTGAAAATAGGAAAACAGCCCCAGACAAATACTGCCCTTTGTTTTCTTGCTCCTCTAGGATTTACAGTTTTACTCCCTTATTTCCCTGCTAACTTGACTAGAACTTCCTTTCTGAGCTTTCAGGAGACCTAGGGCTGGAATAAACAAACCTTTCCCAGTCCATGTGGACAGAGCAGGGGTGTTGGCTGCTGTTGTCCTCAAAAGAAATCAATTCTGCTCAGGGTTGGGTCCAGAAGAATGCATTTGGCAAGAAATTGTAGTGACTTTTTCACCTGGAGATTAGGCTTCATAAACAGCTCAGCTGARCAGGAGGAGAAACCATTCACACTCAAGCAATGTTTTTCCTGTTTTCCTCAGATACTTGGGTAAAACTGAAATTGTGTGAGTGGGTTTGCGACCATTTCATCATTTAATGATAACTTGTTTTGCCAGGTTAAAGTACTGGAGTAAAATTWTCGATTTGATGCACTGACATACAGAGTAGACATCACAGAAATACGGAATAATACCAATTAATCTCTGGTCTCATTCTATTGTCTTCAAAGGAGTTGTGTCCAAAATGAATTTGTACAGATTTTCCTTGTCAAAGCAGCTGATTTATCTGCGTGTGGGATGAGATTGGGCCAGCATGAAATGAGACCTACAAAGAACACCAGTCTCAGTGAGACCAGCTGGAAATGCAGCCCAGCTTCTGGGGCTACAATCTCCTCCTGGAACGTGTCTGCCATTCCAACAGCAGATGTGCTCCTGTCCCTATGCTGACATGACCCTTTGTGGTCACTTGCATGCCAGACGTGGGTGGGCTTGATACAATAGACAAACGATTAAGGAGCATTAAGATAAAAGTTCTGTCTAGTTGGTGTGAAAGCCAGTCTGCTCTGGGAGAAAGTGAGTTCAGGTGTGTTTAGAACTGGCAGAGAGGGGATGTTTGCCCTTGTGTCTGCAGGTGGTGAATTTATGGGGAAGACCAAAGCCAGATTGATTGTCATCAGTTTTACTTACTATCTCAGTTGCTTACCAACTCAGCTAAGCTAAGGATGCAACATAACCTCATTAAATCAATGAAGATTTATTTTTGTCTCAGGAATAACATCCTATTACATAGMTATTTAATGAGTTGTGAGCTAACATGTTTTAACAAATCTTTTATCACTTATTACATTCTCTCCCTTGATGGTAATTCCAAAATCTGACTATTAAAACAGAACTCTTTTCACAACTCTTTGATGATGGCTCTCAGAGCTGTGCACTTCATCTTTGCATCTGGATTGGAATCATAAAGGTGTGAATTATAGATCTGGCTTTAATGTGCTCTTATTTATCAGGGAGTTTTGTAGAAACCACAGCAGTTCTGAAACCTTAGCAGTCTAGATGATCTTTCAGCTTTCTTAATTGGGCCACCGGGGTACGGTTAATTTTCAATTTATATTGAGAGTAAGACAAGATGATGTAATACTTCCTCCTTGTACCTGAGTAGCATCAATAATAAAACACCACGATGTATAATCATGGTGTATAATTGTAATTCTCAATACACAAGTTGCTTGTTGAAGTAGATTGAGGGTTCCGGCTTCATTCACTTTGTAGTTTAGGACAAATTCTGCCTAATACTTCCTGTGTGTTCACTGACTTCCATTGAGACACTTTCTACAAGAAGAAGATACCATTTGGTCAAGTGGAGTTGGAAAATTTATTCAACATGCCAGTGTTGAGCAAGTAACAGACTAATGAAATGTGCTTATCTCTTTGTGTGTCTGCTGACAGGTCAAAGTCATGGTGCGCATTTCTTCCACGCTTGCSAGAGACACGTCTGAGTCCAGCTCTTTCTTGAAAGTTGACCCCCGTAAGAAGCAAATCACACTGTATGACCCATTGGCCTGTGGGGGTCAGAATGCTTTCCAGAAGAGGGGCAGCCAGGTTCCCCCCAAGATGTTTGCTTTTGATGCCATTTTCCCCCAAGATGCATCACAGGTAGGCCCTGCATGATTGGAAGAGTTACCTAAGCAGAGTTGTGCACCACAGCCAAATTGATTTCTGCTGCAGCAGTAGTACTTTCAGTGAGCTTATACCAGGGCTGAATTTGCCATCATCATCAATAATGAAATAATTTTATTAAATTTTAACTCAATTATTGTGTGYTTTCTTTATTGTTTAGTGTAAATAGTTTCTCCTAAAATTATGTGTTCAATAGTTGTGCTATGGTGCCTAATAAGAAAATCCTCAATATCAAGTCCTCTGTTAACTAGGAGGTCAAGGGTTATTTTTACAGTCTTCCATTTTACAGTTAACARTAAGAAGATGGTGATTTTAATATACAGGTCTTTATTCATGTATGTATTCAGATTTCTTATTTTTATTAGACTTTGATTTGATGAACTATATTACCCAAATGTCATGAGGATGGTAAAAGAGCAAAGTAACATTGTAAAGKATAATTAGAAAACAGTCCAGTAAGGTGTTTCTGTATTCATAAACTACACGAAGCTAGGACACAAAGCCATCTAAAGTACTGTCCCATAATKATATCATTATGCCAGTGCCTCACCTATCTCTGGTTCAAGCAGCTAGCACCTCGCAGACCAATGCCTGGATGCAGTTCAAGGGGCTGGCCTGTGAACAGTCCCTTTCTTGGCCCATTTTATTTTCTATTGCAGAGATAGTCTAGAAATAGCCATGAGCTAGGCTGAATTTAAGTGATGCATTGACAAATGCCAAGTACTTCCCATCAAGCCCTAAACTGTGAATTCTGATTTTCATCCACTGTTGTTAAGCAGCTGCTGTGAAGCACTGTAGACCTTTCAGCCTGCTTGAACCTTAAATCTGCAAATGCCATGGGTAAATTTCTGTGCTGTACTTCTTGAAATACTGSTACAGTCTTCAGAATAGAGTCTACTGCTGCAAAAAGCTGAGAAGACTCATAACAATGTTGGGTCACCAAGCTAATACCAAAGAGGCTGTTTGTTCCCTTACATTCCTTACCCACATGCTAGTGGAATTGAACTCAGTCCATAATTGAGCAAATAATAGAGCCTGTAAAAATTCCTCAGTGTTGGATTGTTTTTTATTCAAAACTGTGCTTTAAAATCCCTTAAATGGGCAATTCTAACAAACCAACTGTATCCCCTTATAATATGTGTATTTTTTTAACCCCACAAAGGATGTCGATGTATTAGCAGATGAAACTTATGTGACACAGGACAAAAGTCCTGCTTCATGTGCTTACTCAAGTAATGCCATTCCCATCAACAGCASAGGTCACATGAATGAGACAAGGAGGATTAGATTTTTTGATGGCTCAACATGCTATCTGGAGCATGGAGGACATTACTACCACTTTCCAGTGAAAATAGTGATTTTCCTCATTATTGCTAATGCTTTTATTTTCTTTCTTTCCCTTTTTTAAATTCTTTTTTTTTTCCCGATCTGTGACAGGCTGAAGTATGTGCTGGGACTGTGGCTGAGGTGATCCAGTCTGTGGTCAATGGGGCAGATGGCTGCGTTTTCTGCTTTGGTCATGCCAAGCTTGGTTGGTATTGCTAAATTTCCTACTCAAGCAGCAAAATGAATCTTTTTAACCCAGGATTGTTAGTYTGYTAGATTAAGGAAAACAAACTKTCATTTATCTGTGTATATTAATTGTATTTGAAAGCAGTGCACTGTGCATGACCTAGTACTACACCTTCAACTCTCCCTTACACATCTATACACTTTGCTTATTGTGTAAATGTTGGACAGCATTTACTCTTTGAAAAAGAAGTTACTGCTGAATTGTTGCTTCATTTCTTTTCTTCAGTACTGTAGCAATTTTGTCTTGCATTGTCTCTAATTGTTAATGAATGGTCCAACAGCAATCTACAGTTTTACAAATGTGCTTGGTGCTGGTGAGGGTTTGCCCAAATACCACTTTCAGCAAGCTGTGTGAAGGCTGTGAGTATTCACTCAGGTTCTTGRTGCTTCTGATGACACTATCCAAGTTCTGTGACTGGGCACTCAAATAGTTTGATTTGCTCTCTATTTCCTGGTTAGACAAGTCACTCATTACTGACCTCTTCTTACTGTGTCTCCAAAAAATCTTATTGTAATGGTTAACTGAATGTTACCTGTGGATCAAAACTCACACTTTGCAAATGCTTCAATAGTATTTCAGATATTCATGGAAGGATATTAAAAAGGAGGATTGTCATCACTAGCACACTATTCTCTTGAAATAACTGGATTTCAAGAGTAATCATATGTTTTTCTTGTGCTTATCCAATTGTGTTTTGAAAGTACTGTCTTTGAATGAAGAGGGTTTTATTGCATGTTACAATGATCTCCATTCTTTATGGTCTCAAAAAAAACACAGATGCACTCATATAATTTAGAAGGTTAATTCACTTTTGCAGGTGGTAAAGAAGATCAAATTGTATCAAACCATGATTTTATCCCAAATATAGGCAACAAAACCTGGAGAGCAGAATGCTGAAATRCAGCCAGGTCTGGTACAGTGAATGGAGCAGTTGCTGGTCCAGTTACACCAGAAGGCCCCTCTGGACCAGGCAGGAGTTAACTCTAGGATGAGCTCTTAGATCTTTAACCCCCTGTGACCTGCCAAATACAGACTGCAAATGACATGGGAAAGGAAGCCACCACATAACCTCACATGTGCTACGTTTCCCTTAGAGAGACCTCCCTGCTAGGGTTTTGCTGAAGCACAAATWGAGCCTGTGCAATTGCTTTGTTAACTGCACCTCCATCATTCTGCAAACCATGAACATACCCAGACCCTGACACAGACATTTGCATAGAAGTATTTTTTTCACTGGTCTTTTTCTACATAGATTTAACATAAGAAATGAAACAATGTAAATAAGCCACAGGTACTTTCTGAAAGGATGCATATCTTTATCATGGGGCTTATAAATTTAGGAGCTTTAAAAAACTTACCTAAAGGCATTATATTTAGTGACACCTAAAGCAGTGTAGGATACTGTTCTGTGTCTGTTCTTAATCAGCAGATTTTCACAGCAAAGACAAGCCAGAACTATAATTATAGAGTCAAATTAAAAAAAAAAAAAAAGAACCAGGGAATGATTTTGACCCTGCTGAAATATTAGTCATTGTGGACCCACTTCTGCAACAAGCGATCACATATAACTGATTGGTTTTGGGCTTTTTTTCCTGAATGAAGTTATATCTCTMTGATTCTGGGACCAGGTTTATGTCAATCCCACCTCCAGCATTTGGAATATAATCTAGTGCTTTGAAGTAAAATGGTATTGGAAGAATACCACACTTACAATGTCTAAAGTGGGGATTTTTAGAAACCATGGCACTCTTGCTCTCTTCAATTCCCTCCACAATTCACCCACATCAGAAGCTGCAGTGTTGCAAGGTGGGGGGCTGCAGCACTCTGCCTTGGGAATGGGAGATGTCAGAGGAAGCATGAGGTAATGGTTTTTGAAAGTAGCTCAAGATTTCATCTGCATTTTCTACGTCCTGTTTGTCTACCTGCCTTTATTTTCCCATTACTGACTGTCCTTGTAGTGAAGCTGTTTTCATGAAGCTGTGCAGGATAATCTCTTGGCAGAAGGCTGTGAAGGTCCTGGGAATGATGTTTTATTTTCTCYATCTCCCCATTCCTGACAGGGAAGTCATACACCATGATTGGGAAGGATGATTCCATGCAAAACCTTGGCATAATTCCTTGTGCCATCTCGTGGCTCTTCAAGTTGATTAATGAGCGCAAGGAGAAGACAGGAGCGCGCTTCTCAGTCCGGATTTCTGCAGTGGAAGTGTGGGGGAAAGAAGAAAATCTGAGAGACCTGTTGTCAGAGGTGGCTACAGGCAGCCTGCAAGATGGCCAGTCCCCAGGTGTCTACCTTTGTGAAGACCCCATTTGTGGCATGCAGGTGAATCCAAGATTCAATTTTCACTGAAACAAATAACATGAAGKTTTTTTTTTAGCTATTGAGGTGGCTCAAATTTAAGAACTACCCAGAGCATAAAGTTTATAGACTTGAAGGTGTTTACTTTAAAACATGCAAGGACTTTATGACCTGCAGCTGCAGGGCCATCTGCTCTCCTGACCTAAATGTTTGTACCTCTGGTATAACTAATATTGAGCAGGGGCTTGTGTTTGCAATAAAATGCGAAAACATTCAGTGCAAACAAAAATTCACCTCATTCTGTAAAAAAAAAAGAAAGAAAAAAAGTGTGATCTCTCTTTTGTAAAACAACAAGCTAAAATATTTACAGTATTGCACAAATAGCTGTAGGCCATTAATATGGCTGTTTATTTCTTTATAAACTACATTATTTATAGTGTTTGCATTAGCAATGTTGTAGGAAGCATTAATTGCTACTTATTAATTGCTGCCAAGAAGTAAATTCCTGAGCTGGGCAAGTCAAGAAAAATTCAAACTCTTCTGAGGTTCAGAGTTTTAGCAGGAATGAGTAACTGGCTCACATATTTTCTGGGTAACCATGAGAAATTCTCAGCAACCCTATTCCCCTCCCCCCTCTTGGTTTGAGGGGAGAAGAGACCTGTTCTTTCATTTTGCTGTTTGTGAGGGAGTAAATTCGCTTTTTATATGAGTAGATGAAGAGGGAGCAAATGAGTGTGACAGAGTTTGAATACATTCTTTCAATCTGAAAGGCAAAGGCTGCTTCCATTGAGAAACTGACGAGCCCTGCCTTTTCCAGGATGGGGAATGGAGGGAAAAGGGAACAGATCTACAGGGTCATGTACCCTATATGCAGCTCCACATATCCAGAGATCATGTCTCACATCCACACAAGTCACAAACTGAGATTTTAAACTGCAAGTAATAAATTTTGTGTCTTATCTCTTTGTGGTGTAAGTTTTTTAGGTATACTTSGGTCCTATTTTCCATTCTTTTCCATTCTACCTAAGGACTGTGAAGTTGTTGATTTTAAGTAACAGTTAGGGYTCTCATTCTCACTTGACTCCTGTCTTCAGTGTTTTTATGAAATACAGTATCACAAGAGATCTCACCCATAGGTATCCACTAATGGGTGCAGTCTTGTGAATATGAGAGTCTGGTCAGTTCCCACTGGGCTGATGGATGGCTCAGTTAAGATCTGAATTCACATAYGTATGCTGTATGTGTTACATCACTATGTCACAATCACCATGTCCTTAGAGCTTAATTCTTTACTAAGGTATTTAAGCACAATAGAAATAATTGTAAATGTTCCATTATTGTAGCTTATATTTGTATAGAGACAGACAGTACAGCAGTATACAAAGTGAATTATTTTAGATCAGTGAAGAAGGGGTAGCTCCGTGAGACACCCGTATATCTCTGCAGCGTGACAGACTGAATTGAATTGCAAGGAAAAAAGCCTTTTTATGTGTGCTTACAAGACATTTTGGAGTCATGTGTCGTACCTGCATTCCACAAATCCTCAGATGAATGGAGGATATTATATTATAGCCATACAGATATGCAGAGTCAGCAGTGTGTACAGCAAATGAATGATCGCCATATGTCATACTGTCTGTCACCGGACTTTTCCAAGTATGCACATGTTTTTGTTGCTTATATTAGTGAGATCAGCCCACAGGCTGGCCTGCCTTCTGCTGGCCTTGTTAACTCCTTCCTGCCCCGCTCCCTGTTTCCTGAGAGAACTTAGCTTTCAGCTGTGTCACCCCATCCCACCCACAGCCTCAGATTTATCTCTCCTCAGGCTGATTAGTGGTCACAGAGAAAACAGAAGTGATGTCTTTTGGAGAACTTAACTGCCAGCTATATTGTATAGCAGGGGAACAAACCCCACAAATGGGGAGCTCCTTTCTGTTTTAATGCCAGACAAAACAAATCTATCCTATGGGCTGTGGGCCAGTTCTATGTACTGCCAAAACTAGCRCCATCAAATTGCACAGTCATGTGTCCCTTCCACAGACAGACTAATCCTAGGTGCCATGGAATGTGTGCATTCCTAATGTCAGAGTGGGTAAATAATTTCTGCCCTCCTATGCTGTCTGCCACTTTGGAGGGTTAAGAGCAGGCTGGTGACAGGGAAYGATCTCCAGCAAATGTGAATGTGTGTACATTGCCCGCCTTGTTTCATTTAGCAGATTGCCCTGGCTTGTGAGCAGGTGCCTAAGCTTGGGGTATGAAGGGGCGAGGAAAAGGCTTCTTCTCCTCTGTGCTGCTCCTCATATGCCATGGGGCAGAACACAAACTTCAGGGCTGTTCTTTCCCAGATTTGTCTGTGGACTGCTTCCTTCTAAMACCTTCTGAAGGGTGACACGTAGCCCTGCCACTGCTGTTTTTCACCAGCTGTTGAGTTTAGGCTTGACATGTCTCCTGGAGGGCTGTTACTGCCACCGCCAGTGTCAGGAGGGTCTCATTCCATTGAGCAGCTTCTCCTTCTCGGTCCCAGTAGGAGCCAGTGCATCCACACAGTGTGTCGACTGTGGGAAGTTGCCTGGTGGTGTTTATCTGTGTGGGGTAAACGCCATTTCTCCCTTGTGTTGACTGCAGCTGCAGAACCAGAGCGAGCTCCGCGCCCCCACGGCAGAGAAGGCCGCCTTCTTCCTGGATGCCGCCATCGCCTCCCGGCGCAGCAGCCAGCGGGACTGTGACGAGGAGGATCACCGCAACTCCCACATGCTCTTCACGCTGCACATCTACCAGTACCGCATGGAGAAGAGCGGCAAAGGCGGCAGTAAGCTCAGTCCTCTTGCTCCTCCCTGTCTCCTTCAAGCCTGCCCGGAAGCTGGGCCTCCAAACGATATTCTTTAGTGTGAAAATTAGCAGAGTTCTCCATCTCCACCCAGTGTGGGGTGGGGCCATTCAGAGCAGCAGACTGCCCACGTGCCTCGTGCAGACCCTGCAAAGGCCATTAATGGCCTTTGGGGATTTTGGCCATCACTTGTCAGTTTAGTTGCTGTCATGGAGATGCTGGCAGCTCTCAGCCCTGTGGGGGCCTCTGTACCTGAAAAAAAAAGGTGCTTTTCAAATTGGCTTTATAATTATCTTTAGAGATATCATTGAGGTCATGGATTAAAATATTATGGTRACCGGAATTCCATGCCACTCTTATGTTAACTGTTCACCTAAATAAGGCAGTATGTGTGGAAGCTGGCAATCCATAAACTGGGCAGCTGATGCTCACAACCCATAAACGATGCTCTTTCTGGGACGTACGTGATATTTTGTTTGCTGGCCCAGTTAYGGCTGTGCAAAGGACTCTCCTGGTTCTTTGTAAAAGCTCTGGACTTTTCAGATAGGCTTGCTTCCTCTCTTTGCCATGTATGCTTTCACTGGCTTGTGTCTTCCATGTCCCACTTTTAAATGAGATAAAGGCACTTCCCTGTCTAGGCAAACTAGAAACTTACATGTTTCTATAATTTTCAAATCTCTCACACCATTTTTCTATTTTTTTGTTACATTTGTCTTCTGTTTGAAGTCTCCCAAATGGTTTATGACTCCAGATATACAGAGAGAGTTTTTTTTAGTAAATTCCAATAATAAAAGATTTGTATAATATAAAAAGCACCCCCTCTGAAAAATCTCTGACATTAAAATTCTTTTTTTTAAACAATAATTTTTTTACAGGAAAAAAAAAGTTTGTTTGAAAGATACCAGAGACATCTGCTTCTTTAAATTCATGGGCTTAAGCAATTCTGCAGAAACAGCATATGTTTCAGCTCCTGGCTCTGCATGGGTTATTGGTAATAAGGAATAGATTGCAAGGCATGATGTGTAGTGGGTGATCACCGCTGCAGTATTAATGTCTAATGTCTAAATGAAGAAAATTTGCATAGACTGTACTTATAAGAGAGAAAACCAGAAAGTTGCTCTAAATGGAAATGMGGCTTACATGTGTTTAAGTAATAACCCCTGTGCAATTGGCAGGCAGAAATCCCAATTAACTAAAGGTTTATTAATTAACCACCCTGTGGTGGAAAGGAAGACAGTGAATACTCAAACAGATTGGTTTATAGGAATAAAATGGCTGATTCCGAGGGAATAATTATTGCAATTATTTAATGCCCCATACTTTTTACTACACTCAAGTACATGTATACACAGTCCTTTTCTAYTACTTCCAAATATCATTAATAAAAGACATAATGTTATTTTCTTGTGGCTATTATTTCAGAAAAAGAAGACGTGGTCCTATTGGATTAGAATAGGGCATGCTTTGCCCTCTGCCTCTAGTTATGTCTTTGTCTYGTGGCCATCCCATACTCCTGTCTTCAAGTTCCCATATCTGAGTGGCCTTACAAGCGAGGCAGGGTCAGATCCCACTGATWATTGAATGAGGGGGGAATTCCAGCTGCTCAGAAAGGGCGCCTAGTGATTATCACTGTCTCCTGCTGTAATGAAGGACTTCTCAGAAAAAAAACATTAAGATAGTAGAGATATATAGATTCCAGTAACAGGATTTAAAAAAAAAAAAAGATAGGAAGGCAGGGGAAAAAAAGAAACACAGCTTCTAAAGGATAAGACATTAAAGGGCTGGCTAACATGTGATTTGGTAAAAAATGACTGTTAGAATAAGGCATTGGTACTGTACTTACCTCCTTGTTAGATTCATTACCAGGAATGTCATGAAGCAGGCTTAGCACCATTGAAATAAATGACATTGTGGCAGAACTGACTCAGTCATTTTTCAGCTGTCAGCTCTGCAAAGGCTCTGTGACCATAGACAAAAACAAGTGTTAGGATGTTCCACTTCTTTTCTCTATGGCAGCCAGGCACATTAGTGGAGAACTTGCCTAACAAATAACTTCATTTTCAGATCAATCAAGTGCATCTACAGTCTTAAAAATGTTACTTCAACACATAAATTAAATAAGAAAGAAAGAACCAGCAAGGTATTTTATTATGGATTTCCTCAGCCTGTGTAATAGGAGTATATGTGGAAACAATTTAACTAAGCTTTTGAAAGAAATGTAGTGATTTCTTCCATTTTCTTTTGTTTCCCTGACATGTGGTAGCCTTAGCAACAGAAATATTTATTATATATGATTCAGTAAAGTCACTCCCAGTCATTTTCAGTAGCAACTAAATGCATTTCTTTGTTTTCCTGAATAAATTATTGGGAGACACTCAAGTAARGTAATTTCAGCCTTCTGAGGATAGTCATCTTAAAGACTTACTTACCATCTTTAATGGTAGTGGGAAGAGGATAGTCCTTCATGATCAGTACAGAGGTGCAGATGCCTTACTGGTTCCCCAAGGCAGCCTAACTTTCTGCAGTGAGGGCAGGAGCTCATAGTGTGTGTGGATACTTTCTTGTGAGAGGAATGCATATAGTTCAGTGTTGCCTAACACCTGATATAGCTGGAGAATTAAGAGGACATAAAACCAGCAGAAATCACTGTATTTTACCAATTGTTGACAGAGGTACTGGACACATTTTTGGAATGTAATTTRAATCCCATGGTATAAATCACTTTCAGAGTAGGTCTTCTGTTTTCTTTCATCCTCTCCCTTTTTTCTTACCAGTTGTGCAAGTTGAGATCCTGTGTCAAAATGGCAGTGAATTTATTTGCATAGAGGTTAACACAGAGGTGAAAATATTTCTGCTGCTGTTTAAGGTGTGTTTGTGTTCTCATATATTGCTCTTACTTTCTGAGTTAAGATCCTAGAAATAAAACTGCATTTTCCGACAGCTTGCTTCCAAACTAACTCTTGAGGAAGGGGAGGAGTGGTCCAAGATTAGATGCCAAAAACTCAGCTAGGAAAGTGTCTTGAGATAGTAGAGAGCTAGAAGCACTTCTGTAAAATCTACGTAGTTCCCATCCCGGATTCATAAGGAACCATAGATTTTTAAAGGGAGCAAAGGATATTAATCTTGGTGTTTCAATGGTATTATCTTTTCACTCTGAAAGTACTGTGTTGATGCCGAGTAAGCAAGGAAAAACTGTAAAGCTTTATTGCCAGTTTTACAGAAACTGCTTYTAGAACAGAGGTGCTACTTCAAATCCATCACCCATGGCATGTCAAACCTTTTCTTAGCTGAAATGGTACTGTGGAAGTCTATAGACTTGAAGAAAAGTTGAATATCCCACAGAAGCCATAGGGTCTTCTTAAGATACAGTATTCAGAATGGGAAAAATAAGAGAAGTATCCTTGCTCACTAAGAAGGAAWTCCCAGCTGGAAGTTTTCCAGACAGAGAAACAGTAGTGACAGAGACAGAAAGAGAGCCAACTCAGGTAGAGGCTGATAAAGCTTTATTTAAAAAAATATCATCACATTGGTGACTCTCACAGAGTTAAACCCGCAGGAATGGGTGGGTACTCAGCAAATTTTAAGCAAGTCTGGAGCAGAGAGCAATGTACAGCAATGTGCAGTCATACAGGCTGACGGTGCTTCAACAGGACCCCTAGAGCCATGTCTGCTAACATGAATTAGGGAAGGCTTCTGGATTATTTCCACTTCACAAACCACAGTGAGCCTTTTGCTTTCCTGGGAAGCTGCTCCTGCAGGCACACTCTAACTGTCTGCTTTCTTTGTTTGTGGCAGTGTCTGGAGGTCGCAGCCGCTTGCACCTTATTGACCTGGGCAGCTGCGTCAAAGTGCTCAGCAAAAACCGCGAGGGAAGCTCCGGCCTCTGCCTGTCCTTGCCAGCGCTGGGCAATGTCATCCTCGCCCTTGTCAATGGCAGCAAACACATCCCGTACAAGTAAGTGGTGGACTKGGTGGTGCCTAATGAAAGGATGCTTGAAAGCAGTTTGTCTGTCCGGCCCTGAGGCAGATTTGGAAAAGGAGGAGAACAGTCTGCTGGGGTCAGTGCAGCCCTCTTGAGCTACGGCAAAAGCTGCCTGAGGTTTAGTGACACCTGATCTGACCTTACACATGGTTTCAAATGAAGAAACCTGCTGAAATAAGACCCAGGTGATTGAAATATCTTAAGTTTTGAAGTTCAGCACTTAAGGGTTTTGTTTTCTGTGATTGTTCAAAGATTTTTTTAATGTTTCAAAGCACATGAGAGCCTTTCATATTTGTTCCAAGGAGAAAAACATTGCTGCCATAATGCAACGCTGTAGAGAAAATTATCTTGCTGTCTATTGTATGTAATTTGTTTTCTTGGGAGTATATGTCACAATGAGCATGCGTGTTTGCCATGAGATTCTGTKATCTAAGGTTGCTTTGCATTTTATTTTTGCATGGTTTGAATCTCAGTGTCAGCTTTTCCTTTGCAAAAAAAGAAGCAGTCCCTCTTTGCCACAGTGGACCAGTGGCCTTTGCTGCTGCAGRTGGCTTCTGGTAAAAGAGAGGAATTGCTCACCCAGGGGATATGCCTTTGTGCATTTCTCTTCATCTCTGCCTTGCCCCATGTGTGCAGGTCTGAGAGCAAGTTCACATTCGTTACCCAGCCCAGGCGGTCACACTGCCTTCCTTTTGAGAAGTTTCTGGTTTTGTGGGTGGTATTACTTTTCTCTAGCCTAGAACCTAGGGAGAAKCATCTGGCATCATGGAATGACTTCCAGTAGCATCTTGTAATCAACCTGCCAGTGAATGTCAGGTGTATTTGTGAAGGACAGGTGTATGACACTGGGAGTTAGGAACAACAGGATGATTTGGAGAATGAGCCAGGTCATCCACAAAGTAATATTTCAGTCCAAGCATTTTACTAGTTTTAGCATTTAAAAGGCTGCAAACATTATTATTTTCACATGTTCATTCAGGATTTCTTCTTYGTTTTTGTCTTCATTTTGGAAAATAAAAAGTAATTGAGATTGCTTATAATTCTATTGCTCTTCCAAACTTTATTTTCAAAAATTATTTGGTTGTCTGGACTTATGCTTTCTGGRAGTATTCCTATTCCTGGAGCTCAGTCAGGCTGGAATTCAGTTAATGACTAACCAAATTTCTATGTAAAAGTATTCATTAAATGTTTCATGGATCATGCCTCTAGTCATAGTGTGAAAATGGCTTAAATTCTGCACTTCACAAAGTGTAACTCGAGCAATGCTGATCAAAAACCTGTCTTCTTTCCTGTTGAATTTTATTGGAGATGAAGAGAAAGTCACCAGTAGGAATACAAAAGATTATATGAGTGATGCTTGCTAAGCTAGAACTAAACATAGAARGAATAGTTACCAAATACAAAAATTGTCTTTCCTGGCAACGCCTGAGCAAGAGAAAAGCATTACCAAACACATCTTCTRCTTGCTGTGTGTTCAATCTCTTTGCTGTGACTCCCAGCTATTGCCCTTCTAAACTTACACAGCCAGAGATGTCAGCATATTTTCTCATCAGTGCTGAAAGAAAATGAAAACTTTCTTCAGGACACAATCTCCTCTTGAATTCACTCCTAATAAGAGTTCTTCCTATAAGAAAATGTTATAGACCATAGAGAAGTGGTTGGTCATCTGTAAATCAGAGGCAATATCTTGTTTCTAAGAGGACTTTTAAAATACAGTTTGAAAAATATACTGGCATATTTTGGAGCAAACTTTTCTTCTTGCTGAGAAGAATCCAGAAAGCATTTTTTCCCATRTGTGGTCTATTAATGAGCAAAGGATGGTGGCTGGATGAGCACAGACAGCATTAGCTGATCCAGGTGTGTCCTGCTCCTCGGTGGCAATGACATGTGGGTGTGTGTGCTGCATTGTAGAAGAGGCTGAGTACCCTGCAGACAGAGATGATWTGTGCTCAGTGGCACCTCTTGTTTAGAGCAGGGACAAGCCTGTCTAGCTGGGATAATATCCCTTTCTCTAGGGTTGCTCTCTTTCACTGTTAAGTRTAAAATTACAATTTTGTTAACAGCCTCTTTTGAGTGGAAAACAATGGAAGTGTTTTCTTATGTGACAGCTCTGCACATTGTGTGTGGTCTCAGTAAATTTCCATAGAGCAGCAGACAAAATGGACCATCTTTTCTGTATCTGAGCTATTAAACAGCCATTAAGTATTTTATGGCAGTCTGTCAGTAGGCACAGCGTGGCTTCCTGGGAGCTTGGAAGCTCACAATGCACAGGTTTTCCCTTACTGCAGAAATTTGGTTCCCTAAACTCTGAGAGGCTGCGGGCTCTTAAATTCCCTTTAGTTTTGTACCCAGCTTTATCTCCGCAGGTAGTAGTTGTCGGGAAAAGCATGTTCAGATTCATAGCTGGGAAAAAGCAGGTGCCACTGCATTGCCTTCAGAGGTCTTTGTGTTTGTGCCAGGGATGAATTTGCCTCTCCACCTGCAGTCTCTATGAAAAACACATGCTGTTTTCCAGCACATGTTGCTTTTCTTTTATTGTTACCCATAAGACTAAGCCTTGTAAACCTTCCTGTTGGAATCTTCCTCCCTTGGGAACATCCCCCCAAACACTCCCATTTTTTGGGAATAATAACATAGATTGATACTAGCTTTAGCAGGAACTTGTCTATTGAAGTACTAAGAAAGTAATGTAGGAATTCTCAAATGATATGTTTTGATATAGTTTGGGGGATCTTGTCTTGTGTTGAAGTCAACTTTCACATGGGTCTGAGGAATGGGTGAGAATCCCTGAACTGGCCAAATACGTGAAGCTAAGGAGTGATCAGACTCCTTATGTTTTTTATACATGTACTTACAATCTCTCTCTAATATCTCAGCGTCTTTGTCACTGTTATTTCCAGACCTATTTTGAACTTTAGTAAGCACATAATTTTGTCATGGTATGAACYACTGAGTTCTTCCAGCTCAGGGTATTATATAAAAATAGAATTTTTATTTCACTTGAATATAATGCTATTTTATGTCACCAGTTCCTTTTGCTCTTGAGGTATGAACAAGTCCCCCAGAAGACAGGGGCAATTCCCCCCAGAAGAATTATTTTCTCCGGGAGAATGTCAGATATCTTCACAAAAATTGGAAAGGGGCACTCACAAGCCCAAGGAAGAGCAAAGGAGTCAATTCCTGCCCCGACCAAATATGGTAGGGCTTAGAACTGCTATAGAAGGCTTTTGCTAAGCTGCAGTAATTGTTAGTGTAATTTTATGGTTTAAAGAGAATTTCAGTTTCACATTAGTGCAGCATTATCTGCCTCTGATTTCCAAGATGAATGTGTTTTAAACCCTCAAATGAACACCCATTTGCACAAACTCCAAATACTGGTTTATATAGCTCACTATTCAAAAATTACTCCAGTTGCTAGGCAACATGTGTGGTGATAATTCGTGGTAATGCTGTTTTGGAAATAATCATTTTTATGCATTTTAATGACTGTGAGAATATAAGAAAACTGTTTAGAAAAGTGCAAGGCTGTATGAATTTCTCTTCCAGAAATTGTTGCTTGTTTTATTTGATAGGCTTCTCTCTTAATGTGCTATCCCAATGTGCTGGTGTTTCTAGAGGCATCCTGTATTTTGAACTACATGCTTATGCTTATCCAAGGAGGGAATCTTGTCGGTAAAATAGATGGGTGTGACTTAAAAGCATGAATTTTATTCTTGGCACTTCTGCTTCTCTGTCATATGGTTGCAGCTCCTCCCAGATCTTACTGGTTGGTATTGCTTTATTCAATCCTATCTGCAGAAAATAAAATTATATTAAGTGACTGGTTCAAGGTTGCACAAGAGGCTTCATGGCAGAGCCACYATGTTTTAAGATCTAATCTGGTGCTTAAATCATGGGTTAATCCATTCTTTCTTTCTGCATGACCTTTGGAAAATAATTTATTTAAGTATTTATTTATTCACATTTATAAAACTGAATTAGAAAAAATTCAAATAGGATTTTTAAAGGGCATTCAGCATTGTCAAAAAGCGCTATATACTTTTTCACTGTTGCTAGGACTCTGTTACCCTATTTTTCCCCTTTCTTTAGAATTAATGACTTACATTAATAGCCCTAATGGCATGCTGAATCAGAGGGTTTTTTTGGGCAAAGGTAGAATATTATTGCTTTTAATTAAAGAGAAAAGGGGAAGTGTTGGATTACAGTATTGTGGTATACTAGCCTAAAGACTGAGCTGTATATCAGATATTTTCCTTAAATGGTTGGTTAATTCTTGGAATAAAAATGAAAATGGGGTTTGGGTGGATCCAGTACTCAAGTTTCTTATCTTAGTTAGATGGGTATATCTATCTGCAGTTGTTTCSTCTTTGTGAACAGCTGTGTGTGAGAAGAACTGAATGCCAGCTATCTTACATTTATGTCTTGCCTTTGCATTTTAGCATGAGTTATATTATTTTTCTCAGAAAACATGTTAATGGAAAATTTACAGGAGGAGATAAGTCTGGCTAAAAACGGGTTCACAATACAGTTCTTGCACAATAATTAGTACTGGAGTTTTTATCCTTATTTATGAGCTTATATTAATTAACAAGTTATCCTAACTGTTGATTCATATGACCATGTCTGCTTATTAGGTCTAATAATTTAATGACACATTTGAACTAAATGGCAAATGAACAATCTATTTAATRGTTACTTCATCAGCACCTGAACCTAGAATAATTTTTTGTTTTGTTTTTCATTGAGAAATTTCAATCACTTTTACTTTCCATTGTTTCTTCTATGTCTTCTATTCCTTACTTCTGCACCTCCTCAATAAGAATATGATATGAAGATCACAGAAAGCCTCAGAAAAAAATATCTGGTGTGCCCTTCAGAATCTCCAATCTTTCTCTGTTAATTTATCRTTGAATATACTAGAAGTGGATGAAAAACTGTTTTGTTGTTTTACTTGAGGAAATGTGAGAGCAGAA